CTCAACCCCTGGGGCTGGAAGAAAGGGAGGGTGTATAAAGGCAACTCAGGCCCCAAGACCTCAAACATCGGGATAAAAACTTGCTCAAAGAAGTTGAACCTGCGACCAGGGGGAGGAGCACTTTGCCACCAGGGGCCACCCCCATTTCTGCAAGCCTAACTGTTCCCTCTGTGGTAACAGCACCCTAATTTTCTTTGGGAAACCACTCCCCCAACTTTTCTTAGCACACTGGTTCAAACAGGGTAGGGCTTGTAATCTAGACCTGGCCAATGAGAGTAGTGCTAAGTTCCCCAGCCTCAGTGACTGATTCAATGGTGGGCGTGTGACCCACGTTCATCTAATCAGATACTATCCAGGACTAATACTCGGGGATCCAGGGTGCCGAAGTTTCTAAATGGGAAGATAAATGTGCGAAGCTTTCTCTTGCTTGAGAATGAAGTTAACACAGAGGAAAGTCGAGCTAAGAAAAGGATGATCGAATTCCTGTGACTGTGGGCATTTTGGATCCAGCTATACCCGAAGCTCGCCCTGGGACTCTCCATTTTGAGAGCCAATACAGTCCCATTTGGGGGCTTACACTTTTACAATGAGCTTCTGTCACCTGCAACCAAGAGTTCTGTCTAGCACATGGCTTTGTGGTGAGGCTTCTTGCAGGCTTGGCAGAGTAAGTGCTGCCTTAAAAGGGGAGGCTGAAGGTAGGAAAGGGGGAATCAGTGAGAATGTTGCTGACCTACCCCAGGTTGTGACCAGACTCACCCTCAGGGCCCAGTGCCAGTCCCCAGCCATGTCCTTCACTTTGGAACCTGCAATGTAACCCAGACCACTGGGGAAAAGGGGTGGGAAGAGAGAGGGGACAGCCAGTCAGTCATGCCTCACACTCGGCAATTCTGCCTCCCCACCAAGCCGGCCCAAGGCCCACTCACCTGCCCACCGGGATGGCAAAGTAGAACACGCTGAGCATCCGACTCCGCTGGTCTGCCACGAAGAGGTCGGCGATGAGAGTAGGTGCGATGGTGGAGTAACTGGCCTCCCCGACCCCCACCAGGCCCCGGGTCAGGAGGAGCAGCCAGAATCGCTAGGAAACGAGACAGGGAGGAGGTGGCAGCCCGCCCGACAGCCAGCTTCCCAGTCTACCTCACCAGTCAGCTCTGGAGAGGCAGCAGGGATAGCGGGAGAGGCCCCAGTTTTAAAATCAGACAGACCTGAGCTTGAATCCTGGCTCCACTACTTACTAGCTGTGACTTTGGAAAAGGAACTTAACCTCTCTGAGCCTCAGTTTCCTCATCTGAAAAAGGGGGATAATAACAACTTGTTCACATAACTATTGTGAGGATTGGATAATAAAAGGTCTATTTCATTAAGCCCAGTAAGTGTAAAATAAATCTTAATTTCTATCTTGCCCACCCACCTGAGACACCCCAATAGTGAATAATGATCTTAAAGTGGGGGTTTGTCTACCA